CACACAAAATATTGACACTTTGGGCCCAATTTGGACATTTCCACTTAGGGGCGTACTCACTTTTGTTGCCATCGGTTTACATTATAGCTGTGTGTTGTTATTTTGAGGGGACAGAAAATTTACACTGTATATAGGCTGTACACTTACTACTTTACATTGTAGCAGACTGTCATTTCTTCACTATTGTCAAAAGATGAACATGAAAATTCTTACAATAATGTGAGGGGTGTGAGATACTGTATGTGAACCACACTTTTTGTCCTTAGTGTTGACAACATGCATTTTAGTGGTATTTTTTTTCAGCTGGAGGGTAAGGACAACATGCCGGTATCTGTAGGTGGCCACAGCTCTAAAGAAACCACCAGTGGGCTCTCTTATTTGCACCACACATCCCCATTGTCCTTACCGAGGAACTCGCAGGCACAGAAAGGTAGATTCATGTTTCTGAAAGGGAATATATGTGGCATCATGTATACCTTTATGATTTGCTATTTTCCCAATAGTGACAACCTTCAGTGGTGGGAAGGGACCTACCGCTAGACACACTTACAGATATAGATCCTCTCTGCCCATGTTCCCCGAGTGGTTGATGGGCTTTATCCTCACCTTTAGGGAGATTCAATATGGAATCTTCTTGGATAATTAAACGTCTAATACTTAGAGATGCTTTTTGAAAGGTACCAAGCCCTGATAGAGCTTCCAGATCCACCATATTTTTCTGCCCACATATCACTGCTTAATGCTAATGGTCGACACATACAATGTGTCACCTTTTAGTATGTAGTATTCACATGCCGTAGAAGTGAAATCTATTATCATGCCATGGGATTTGCAGGAAGTGAAACATGGAGGATAACAGGCTACCAGCCCAGGCACATACTCACCTGTGTACACTTTCTGCCTGCCGCCTCCCTTCTGCAGTATCCTGCTACGAGTGGAAGAATAATACAATGATATTGCAGCCCATAACCTCTGTATGCTAGCGGTCATAGGGGCACTAGCTGTCCTGCCATCTTGCTATCCCTTACCTGGCATGGCTCACTTTCTATGTAGTGTTTATCAGCGTGGCGATACGATAGTTCCTTTAGAAAGTGTCCGCTAGGCACACAGATCACCTGTGCTTTAGCTCTCTCTGTGTGTTTGCAAAGACTCAGAGAAAGGCATTGCATTTCATTGCATCACTGCTTGGCGCAGTCAGCCTTCTCCTGCTTTACAATCTCACCTTACATGACCTAGCCCCAGGCTAACGAGCCTCTACCTCTGACTCAAATATAAATAAACTCGGGAGTCCTGCATGTGGGACAGTGCCTGGCCAGAGACTAGCTGTGATATTGAAATAGCACATTGCGAGCAAACATGGAGCAAACTGCAAGGTATACACATCAATTATAACACATAACCCTCAGGGTGCCACAAAGCATTGCAAAGATCATTTTTCTGATGGCGATCAGTCGTTATAACTCAATAAAACATTTGAGTCTCTGCGTTAGTGTCTCGTTAGTGGATTGCGTGGCAGAAACTGTCCATGTGTTATCATTATGGAAACGTGGCTTTCATCTAAGCACACTGACGGTGATAAAGGGCAGTGTGTGATGTGTATCTGTGTTAATATGTATGTATGTGGCAGTGTATGTGCATACATCCAAGCAATGAAACACCAACATGCAAATACACTCCTGCAATCAGGGGCAGCTCTAGACTTTGTGAGGCCTTAGGCAAAAAAAAAAAAAAAAAGGAGGCCCCCCACTAACACCATTAGTGAAAAAAAAATAGGGGTTGCCTTGTGTGTGCATAAGGAGCTGCTCCTATATTGAAGGACGAGCCTGCAGCTTTGGATACAGAGATGTGATCTCTGTATTCATCTTCTGTGGCTTGCATTGTCGCAGCTCCCTATGCCGCTGCGACTGTAGGTATGGCATCATTTGCTAATCATTTGTACACGATTGCTGGGTATGGTTGTATAGCCTGGCAGTACCAATGTGAAGGGGTTATTTAAAAAATTTACATTTTGGTTGGGCTGTTAAAAAAATAATTTTCCAAATAATAAAGTTACAGATAAAAAAATGTATTGTGTATATATATGTATGTATGTATGCATATAATATAAATAGGTTGCTTGAAACTTTATCTTTGCATTGCCCTTATCATACCACAACCACATTGCAGACAGACACACACACTAATACCTACACACACTCACACACACACACACACACGCACACACGCACACACACACACTCACACACTCACACACACACACTCACACTCACTCACACTCACTCACACACACACACACACACACTCTCTCTCTTGCTCTCTCTCAATGTGTTGATCTGGCTGAGAGTATTCCTGATTAGGTGTTTTTGAAGAAACTAATAAAATCTGTCAACATTGAAGTTGCTGTTTGGTGGATGGGTGAGTTCGCTGCATCTCGTGTATTGTATAAATCGGCCCCCAGCAGCACCCCATTTATGCATGTTCAGGTGAGTGCAGCCCCCTGGTTTCATATACATATATATATATTTGGGAGTCTAGCCAACTCTTAGGTTTTGCACCCCTCCCTGTCACAGGTGCCTCATCCCAGGGCCCTTGTACTGCAGAGAGCCCCAGATGGAATTTTTCCTCAAGTAAGTGGGTTAATCTCATAAGAGCAGACTGTGACGGACCACCTGGCACTCCGACTGGGTACCTTCGCCAGTCGATGCTTACTAGCTGACGCTGAGGACCGCCGCAGCTTGGTTGGGGTCTCGCCGTCCCTTCCCGTCCTGGACCAAACTCCTGGATCCAAGGACTCAGTGGCAAGGCCTCCAAGAGAGTATAGCTGTGAAGCTCTTATAAGAGCTAGTGGTATAGATGTATAGCAGGTTCCCTACAATCACGAGACCAGGCTACGTGTTAAGGGTTAAGCAGGAATGGTTTAATGGTGCCACACTGGCCTTTTATGACAATCCCCAAGCAAGGTGTACGCCCACATGGACCTTGTTGGGGACAGGGATACCAACTTACAAACCAATAATAACAGAGTTACAAGGTATGACACTCCCACATACAATTACCTATTGTATATAGGCTATTCTGAGCCCGGTTCCTTCACTGGGTTAGCAGTTAAGTAAAACAATATTTTTGTGTTTAATTCTAGATGAGAGGTTATAGAGTATGCCAATAGGCAATATGACGACCGCTTATATTCGCATTGCGCATGCGCGTGATATTTATGCTAATTATGATAGCTATGGATATTTAAATTACACAAAAAAATGACATCTTTACATATAAGGTAGAATCTGTTTGTGAATAGCATTAGGAGTGTATAGTGCATATGTTAAAACTATGTACATAGGACTGTGATCTGAAGTGATGATGTCACTTCTGGTCTCGGCTCTCTGTGGTATTACTGATGGCCATCAGCTGTAAGTAATTTGTATATGTGTGTATATAATGGGTTCCTGGATGATGTTATGATATAGCTACCCTTGATAAAGGCTACCAGGAGGAGCCGAAACGTTGGGGGATTGTTTGTGACTCGTGTTTCTGCCCATATAGGCTTGTGGAATTTGGTAATTATATTTGTTGAGTTGTTTAGCCTATTTGGTCACTGTTACATTGTTACATTTTGTATGTATGGATTGTATTTGTATTGTAATAAATAAATATACATAGATACTATTGTATCAGATGGTGTGCATTCCTTGTTTTTGAGTGACTCCCACATACAATACAATAAGCCTTCCCCTTTACTTAGGAGATAATTGAGTCAAGCACTATATTAAACTCAATTATCTCCTAACACAAAAAACACACATTTTTACAAAACCCCCAAATACCTTAAAACACATAAAACCCCACAAATGTTACATCCCCTAATAGCCCTGATCTGGGTGACCAACATATCAATAAATCACCCAGATCAGTTCAGGGGTTCAGAAATTTTATGGAAGTCATAGTTTTTACCAACCGCAGGCATGGTCTCATAGCCGAAAATAGTTCCGTAGAATCGCGGCTAAGTGCAGCTGGAGGACCGACCAGGAACCACAAGGTTTTCATGCCAAAAACAGTTCCAGGGCATTTGCGGCTAAGTCACCCTGAAGTCTATTCGCGGTTTTGGTCCATGCGAACAAGACGGCCGCCACTTCGTGGTCGAATGGGACTTCGAATGGCTTCGGTAGTTAGAAGTGCTACTTTGAAAGTTCGAATGGTTCCTCTTACCGATCCCGACAGGCACAAATGGTTTTTTCAAATAGGGTTTAACACAGGGGCCATAGTCACAGGGTAGGAGGCTGGCAAGTATGCCCCTCCCAGGACCCGTGACGAGGTCCAGTTCGTCACACAGACATTAGGCTGTTAGAGTAGGACCTGCCAAGGATGGGGTACATTGGCCTTCTGGGTAACTAAACCCCCCATTATTTTGCCTAGATTAGGTGTATTTAAAAAAAACGTATACAATCTGTCAACATTGAAGTTGCTGTTTAGTGGATAGGTGAGTGCGCTGGATCTTGTGTATTGTATTTCTGAATGTGTCTGGCATTGCCTACCTGTTTATATGCCTGAGAGTGCGTCTGACAGTGAGTATCCTTGTATGAAAATGTGGGTTTCTGTGAGCATGTGCATGTTTGTCTGGGACCGTATGTGTGTGTGGTCGCTGCTTGTGGTGTTTTGTGTATATGGGGGGGCTGCCTGTGGCCTTTGTGCACTTTGTCTATGGTGAAGCTATGTTTTATAACTTTATGCGTATGATGATTGTCTTCAAGGCTGACTGTGACAAGCTGAAAAGGAGAAACTGTGGCAGGGTGAGTTTGACAGGATGAGGGGGTGAATGAGATAGGGTTGGGGGGTGAGTGTGAGAATGAGGGAGGACAACTGTGTAGCACACAGTGACTGCAGTGTACACACCCTGCCCTAGTTCACTGCATGGGGGGATGGAGAGATAGGAAGAAAGAGATAACAGGAGAGTGTGAGAAAGAGAGAGAGAGAGAAGGAGAGAGAGGGGGAGACAGAGAGAAGGACAGAGAAACAGAGATAGGGAAGGAGAGATAGATAGGGAAGGAAGGAGAGTGAGAGAGAGAGATAAGGAGAGATAGAGAGAGGGAAGGAGAGAGAGGGAAGGAGAGAGAGAGAGGGAAGGAGAGTGAGAGAAAAGGAGATAGAGGGAAGGAAAGAGAGAGAGGAGAGAGATAGAAGGAGAGAGAGAGATAGGAGGAAGGAGAGATAGAGAGAGGGAAGGAGAGAGAGAGAGAGAGTGAAGGAGAGAGAGAGTGAAGGAGAGAGAGAAGGAGAGAGAGGGGGGGGAAGGAGAGATAGAGAGAGGGAAGGAGAGAGAGAGAGAGAAGGAGAGATAGGAGAGAGGGAAGGAGAGATGGAGAGAGAAGGAGAGAGAGATAGGATGGAAGAGAGATGGAAGGAGGAGATACCGAGAGAGGGAACGAGAGAGAGACGGGGAAGGAAAGAGACAGGGAGAGGAGGAAAGAGAGAGAGAGGGGGGAAGGAGAGAGGGGAGGAGATATTGGTGGGAGAGGAGGAAGGAGAGAGAGGGAAGGAGGAGAGAGAGAGAGAGGAGGAAGGAGAGAGAGAGAGGGAAAGAGAGAGGGAAGGGAGAGGGGGAAGGAGAGTGAGGGGAAGGAAAGACAGGGGAGAGGAGAGAGAGAGGAGGAAGGAGAGAGAGAGAGAGGGAAGGAGAGAGAGAGAATTAAAGAGAGAGGGAAGGAGAGAGGGGGAAGGAGAGAGAGAGGAAGGAGATAGAGAGGAGGAAGGAGAGAGAGATAAGGCGAGAGAGTAGAGAGAGAGGAGGAAGGAGAGAGAGGGAAGGAGAGAGAGAGAATGAAGAGAGAGGGAAGGAGAGGAGAGGGGAAGGAGATAGAGAGGAGGTTGAGAGAGAGGAGAGAGATGGGAGAAGGAGAGGAGGAGAAAGAAGGAGAGAGAGGAGGAAGGGAGAGAGAGGGAGAAGGAGAGAGAGAGTGAGGAAGGAGAGAGAGAGAGAGGGGAAGGAGGAGAGCGAGCCTGACATCATGCAATGACTGGAGCTAACTGACCTTGCTGCCATCAGTAGCTTCACTAATCTCAGCTCTCAGTGCGGCAGCCTCAGCCTGGTACAGTGAGTCGCACAGAGCTCCCTCTCTGATACCAAGGAGGCCCATTGTGTCCCCATTGCCCACACAGCCGGGATCCCAGGGAGCTGTCCGGGAGCTGGAGCTGGGACCATGCCGGTGGAGGGGGCCCCCCTGAGAGATGCCAGGGGCCAACATGATGCAGGTGAGGGGATGGGGCAGTGGGCATGGCCTGGGCACAGTGACAGGGGATCAGACCGGGATTAGCCTGGAGATTGGCCTGGATACAGGGGGACCTACCTGGGGGGCATGGTCATTATACTGATACAGGGGCACCTACCTGGCATGGTCATTATACAGATACAGGGGCACCTACCTGGCATGGACATTATACAGATACAGGGGGACCTACCTGGCATGGACATTATACTGATACAGGGGCACCTACCTGGCATGGTCATTATACTGATACAGGGGCACCTACCTGGCATGGTCATTATACAGATACAGGGGCACCTACCTGGCATGGACATTATACAGATACAGGGGGACCTACCTGGCATGGACATTATACTGATACAGGGGCACCTACCTGGCATGGTCATTATACTGATACAGGGGCACCTACCTGGCATGGTCATTATACTGATACAGGGGGACCTACCTGGCATGGTCATTATACTGATACAGGGGGACCTACCTGGCATGGTCATTATACTGATACAGGGGCACCTACCTGGCATGGTCATTATACTAATACAGGGGGACCTACCTGGCATGGTCATTATACTGATACAGGGGCACCTACCTGGCATGGTCATTATACTAATACAGGGGGACCTACCTGGCATGGTCATTATACTGATACAGGGGCACCTACCTGGCATGGACATTATACTGATACAGGGGGACCTACCTGGCATGGTCATTATACAGATACAGGGGGACCTACCTGGCATGGTCATTATACAGATACAGGGGGACCTACCTGGCATGGACATTATACTGATACAGGGGGACCTACCTGGCATGGACATTATACTGATACAGGGGGACCTACCTGGCATGGTCATTATACAGATACAGGGGGACCTACCTGGCATGGTCATTATACAGATACAGGGGGACCTACCTGGCATGGTCATTATACAGATACAGGGGGACCTACCTGGCATGGACATTATACTGATACAGGGGGACCTACCTGGCATGGACATTATACTGATATACAGATACAGGGGGACCTACCTGGCATGGTCATTATACTGATACAGGAGGACCTACCTGGCATGGTCATTATACAGATACAGGGGCACCTACCTGTCATGGTCATTATACAGATACATGGGGACCTACCTGGCATGGAAATTATACTGATACAGGGGGACCTACCTGGAATGGACATTATACTGATACAGGGGCACCTACCTGGCATGGTCATTATACTGATACAGGGGCACCTACCTGGCATGGTCATTATACAGATACAGGGGGACCTACCTGTCATGGTCATTATACAGATACATGGGGACCTACCTGGCATGGAAATTATACTAATACAGGGGGACCTACCTGGAATGGACATTATACTGATACAGGGGCACCTACCTGGCATGGTCATTATACTGATACAGGGGCACCTACCTGGCATGGTCATTATACTAATACAGGGGGACCTACCTGGCATGGACATTATACAGATACAGGGGGACCTACCTGGCATGGTCATTATACTAATACAGGGGTACCTACCTGGCATGGTCATTATACAGATACAGGGGGACCTACCTGGCATGGTCATTATACAGATACAGGAACACCTACCTGGCATGGACATTATACAGGGGCACCTACATGGGGGGCATGGCCATTATACTAATACAGGGGCACTTACCTGGCATGGTCATTATACTAATACAGGGGGACCTACCTGGCATGGTCATTATACAGATACAGGGGGACCTACCTGGCCTGGTCATTATACAGATACAGAGGCACCTACCTGGCATGGTCATTATACTAATACAGAGGAACCTACCTGGCATGGACATTATACTAATACAGGGGGACTTACCTGGCATGGACATTATACTGATACAGGGGCATCTACCTGGCATGGTCATTATACAGATACAGGGGGACCTACCTGGCATGGTCATTATACAGATACAGGGGGACCTACCTTTCATGGACATTATACAGGGCCACCTACCTGGCATGACCATGGTACTAATACAGGGGGACCTACCTGGGGGCATGGTCATTATATTGATACAGGGGGACCTACCTGCGGGCATGGCCATTATACAGATACAGGGGGACTTACCCCCCAATGATGATTTTATGGGATATTGTCTCACATGTGAGGTGTATCTAATCCCCCGGGGACGTTCCCAGCTTCCTATAAGGCTCTGTGTAACATTGCTCCAGAATTTGGAATACCTCCCCCCCATTCCATGAAAACAAAGATTGTGAAATGTGAATATTAAATAGGATCATACTGGGAGCTTCCCTGGAGCCCAGTCTCCAATCCACCAGAAAGCCCTCAGTTCATTTAGTGATTTCACTGGCTTTCAATACGGGATGTAACATGAATAATGAATAATAACCTTACAGACATTATTGGCAGGGAAGGGTTTATTATATATTTTATATCTGTTAAATGACTGGAATTGCCACAATACATGAGGAGTGGGTGATGTCACGTGGACTGGGCATTTACTGGCACTGTGTGCGTGGCTCTTACCATAGAAAATCTCCATAATGTAATGTACAGCCCGCTATGTGACAGATTGGGAATCAATCCTTTTATCTAAATTAACAGAAATTCTATAGAAATAGTAATACTATTGTGATCCATCTGGCAAGCAGAAAGCTATATCAGACTTTTGGTTTCATTGTCAGTGTATAAACAGAGTATCCATCAGTTTATGGCTATCTTTCAGTATTTCATTTTATCCATCAGTGTCTTTGTGTAACTGTCAATGTTTGCGTGCATGTCTCTGTCCGAGTGTTTCTGTCAGTGTCTGTATGTACCTGTGCGTGTTTATATGTCTGTGCGTGTTTATGTTAGTGTCTGTGTGTATCTGTCTGTGTCTGTATGTATCTGTAAGTGTCTGTGTGTAACTGTTAGTATCTTTCTGTATCTGTCTGTGTCTGTGTGTATCCATTAGTATCTGTGTGTATCTGTCAGTGTCTTTGTGTATCTGTCAGTGTCTGTGTGTATCTCTTAGTATCTGTCAGTGTCTATGTGTATCTATCAGTGCCTATGTGCATATGTCTATGTGTGTGTATCTGTAAGTGTCTGTGTGTATATGTCTATGTGTGTGTTTATCTGTCAGTGTCTGTGTGTATCTGTAACTGTCTGTGTGTATCTGTCAGTGTCTGTGTGTATCTGTTTCTGTCTGTTTGTGTCTGTCACTGTTTGTGTGTATGTCTCTGTCTGTGTGCATCTGTCAGTGTCTGTGTGTGTATATGACTGTCTGTGTGTATATGTCTATCTGTATCTGTTAATGTCTGTTGTGTATATGGATCTGTCTTTGTGTATATGCCTATATGTATCTGTCAGTGTTTGTGTGTATCTGGCAGTGTCTGTGTATTTATATGTCTATCTATATCTGTCAGTGTGTGTGTGTGTGTGTAAATTTATCTGTGTGTATATGTCAGTGTTTGTATGTATCTGTCAGTGTCTGTGTGTATATGTCTATCTGTATCTGTCACTGTCTGTGTGTGTATGTCTCTGTCTGTTTGTATCTGTCAATGTTCGTGTGTGTATGTCTATCTGGATCCTGGAGATAAACACAAAATCAAGGTAGAATCCTAGTTTTCCAGTAAGTGTCCAAATAGACAATATCCCCCTCACCCCCTCTTCCCCAATTCTGACCTGGATTTATCTTGCACTCAATATTAATTCCTCTGGAAGTTTTAAATAAGTTTAAATAACAAAACAAGAAAGTAATGGTCTGCTGTGCGTTTTGTACAACAAACAGACAACTAGCCCATCTCATCAACCTATTGTTTCTGAACCATTTTGTAATTGTTTCATTCATTGTTAATTTCCCCCGTTGATAATATTGCAAAGCGCTATGGAATAAGTTGGCAGTTATAATAATAATAATATCAATGGCTTAGGAACCTATTAGTAAAGCTAACATCAGTTCTGCTTCTTCATGGCGTCTCTGTATTAGGAGGGGTAGGTTGGTGTCTCTGTATTAGGAGGGGTAGGTTGGTGTCTTTATTAATAGAGGGTAGGTTGGTGTCTCTGTATTAGGAGGGGTAGGTTGGTGGTCTCTGTATTAGGAGGGGTAGGTTGGTGTCTCTGTATTAGAAGGGGTAGGTTGGTGTCTCTGTATTAGGAGAGGTAGGTTGGTGTCTCTGTATTAGGAGGGGTATATTAGGAGGGGTAGGTTGGTGTCTCTGTATTAGGAGAGGTAGGTTGGTGTCTTTGTATTAGGAGGGGTAGGTTGGTGTCTCTGTATTAGGAGTGGTAGGTTGGTGTCTCTGTATTAGGAGGGGTAGGTTGGTGTCTCTGTATTAGGAGGGGTAGGTTGGTGTCTGTATTAATAGAGGGTAGGTTGGTGTCTCTGTATTAGGAGGGGTAGGTTGGTGTCTCTGTATTAGGAGGGGTAGGTTGGTGTCTGTATTAATAGAGGGTAGGGTGGTGTCTCTGTATTAGGAGGGGTAGGTTGGTGTCTCTGTATTAGGAGGTGGGTTGTGGTGTCTCTGTATTAGGAAGAGTAGGTTGGTGTCTGTGTGGGAGGGGTAGGTTGGTGTTTCTGTGTGGAGAGGTAGGTTGGTGTCTCTGTATTAGGAGAGAGGTAGGTTGGTGTCTGTATTAATAGGGTGGGTTGGTGTCTCTGTATTAGGAGGGGTAGGTTGGTGTCTGTATTAATAGAGGGTAGGTTGGTGTCTCTGTATTAGAAGGGGTAGTTTGGTGTCTCTGTATTAGGAGAGGTAGGTTGGTGTCTCTGTATTAGGAGGGGTAGGTTGGTGTCTCTGTATTAGGAGGGGTAGGTTGGTGTCTGTATTAATAGAGGGTAGGTTGGTGTCTCTGTATTAGGAGGGGTAGGTTGGTGTCTCTGTATTAGGAGGGGTAGGTTGGTGTCTCTGTATTAGGAGAGGTAGGTTGGTGTCTGTATTAATAGAGGGTAGGTTGGTGTCTCTGTATTAGGAGGGGTAGGTTGGTGTCTCTGTATTAGGAGAGGTAGGTTGGTGTCTCTGTATTAGGAGGGGTAGGTTGGTGTCTGTATTAATAGAGGGTAGGTTGGTGTTTCTGTATTAGGAGAGGTAGGTTGGTGTCTCTGTATTAGGAGAGGTAGGTTGGTGTCTGTATTAATAGAGGGTAGGTTGGTGTCTCTGTATTAGGAGGGGTAGGTTGGTGTCTGTATTAATAGAGGGGAGGTTGGTGTCTCTGTATTAGGAGGGGTAGGTTGGTGTCTCTGTATTAGGAGGGGTAGGTTGGTGTCTGTATTAATAGAGGGTAGGTTGGTGTCTCTGTATTAGGAGGGGTGCGTTGGTGTCTTTGTATTAGGAGGGGTAGGTTGGTGTCTCTGTATTAGGAGAGGTAGGTTGGTGTCTCTGTATTAGGAGGGGTAGGTTGGTGTCTGTATTAATAGAGGGTAGGTTGGTGTTTCTGTATTAGGAGAGGTAGGTTGGTGTCTCTGTATTAGGAGGGGTAGGTTGGTGTCTGTATTAATAGAGGGTAGGTTGGTGTCTCTGTATTAGGAGGGGTAGGTTGGTGTCTCTGTATTAGGAGGGGTGCGTTGGTGACTTTGTATTAGGAGGGGTAGGTTGGTGTCTCTGTATTAGGAGGGATAGGTTGGTGTTTCTGTATTAGGAGAGGTAGGTTGGTGTCTCTGTATTAGGAGAGGTAGGTTGGTGTCTGTATTAATAGAGGGTAGGTTGGTGTCTCTGTATTAGGAGGGGTAGTTTGGTGTCTCTGTATTAGGAGAGGTAGGTTGGTGTCTCTGTATTAGGAGGGATAGGTTGGTGTCTGTATTAATAGAGGGTAGGTTGGTGTCTCTGTATTAGGAGAGGTAGGTTGGTGTCTCTGTATTAGGAGGGGTAGGTTGGTGTCTGTATTAATAGAGGGTAGGTTGGTGTCTCTGTATTAGGAGGGGTAGGTTGGTGTCTGTATTAATAGAGGGCAGGTTGGTGTCTCTGTATTAGGAGAGGTAGGTTGGTGTCTGTATTAATAGAGGGTAGGTTGGTGTCTCTGTATTAGGAGGGGTAGGTTGGTGTCTCTGTATTAGGAGAGGTAGGTTGGTGTCTCTGTATTAGGAGGGGTAGGGTTGGTGTCTCTGTATTAGGAGGGGTAGGTTGGTGTCTCTGTATTAGGAGGGGTAGGTTGGTGTCTGTATTAATAGAGGGTAGGTTGGTGTCTCTGTATTAGGAGGGGTAGGTTGGTGTCTCTGTATTAGGAGGGGTAGGTTGGTGTCTGTATTAATAGAGGGTAGGTTGGTGTTTCTGTATTAGGAGAGGTAGGTTGGTGTCTCTGTATTAGGAGAGGTAGGTTGGTGTCTGTATTAATAGAGGGTAGGTTGGTGTCTCTGTATTAGGAGGGGTAGGTTGGTGTCTGTATTAATAGAGGGGAGGTTGGTGTCTCTGTATTAGGAGGGGTAGGTTGGTGTCTCTGTATTAGGAGGGGTAGGTTGGTGTCTCTGTATTAGGAGAGGTAGGTTGGTGTCTGTATTAATAGAGGGTAGGTTGGTGTCTCTGTATTAGGAGGGGTAGGTTGGTGTCTCTGTATTAGGAGAGGTAGGTTGGTGTCTGTATTAATAGAGGGTAGGTTGGTGTCTCTGTATTAGGAGGGGTAGTTTGGTGTCTCTGTATTAGGAGAGGTAGGTTGGTGTCTCTGTATTAGGAGGGATAGGTTGGTGTCTGTATTAATAGAGGGTAGGTTGGTGTCTCTGTATTAGGAGAGGTAGGTTGGTGTCTCTGTATTAGGAGGGGTAGGTTGGTGTCTGTATTAATAGAGGGTAGGTTGGTGTTTCTGTATTAGGAGAGGTAGGTTGGTGTCTCTGTATTAGGAGAGGTAGGTTGGTGTCTGTATTAATAGAGGGTAGGTTGGTGTCTCTGTATTAGGAGGGGTAGGTCGGTGTCTGTATTAATAGAGGGTAGGTTGGTGTCTCTGTATTAGGAGGGGTAGGTTGGTGTCTCTGTATTAGGAGAGGTAGGTTGGTGTCTCTGTATTAGGAGGGGTAGGTTGGTGTCTGTATTAGGAGAGGTAGGTTGGTGTCTCTGTATTAGGAGAGGTAGGTTGGTGTCTGTATTAGGAGAGGTAGGTTGGTGTCTCTGTATTAGGAGGGGTAGGTTGGTGTCTCTGTATTAATAGAGGGTAGGTTGGTGTCTCTGTATTAGGAGGGGTAGGTTGGTGTCTCTGTATTAGGAGGGGTAGGTTGGTGTCTCTGTATTAGGAGAGGTAGGTTGGTGTCTGTATTAATAGAGGGTAGGTTGGTGTCTCTGTATTAGGAGGGGTAGGTTGGTGTCTCTGTATTAGGAGAGGTAGGTTGGTGTCTCTGTATTAGGAGGGGTAGGCTGAGTATATTGCTAGCAGGCAGTAGATGATGGATTCAGACCGGATTCTAATTTCTGACGGGAGAGAGTTGTATTAAATATTAAAATGTTGCTGTGAGATTGTCCGGATACTTTATTCTGAATCGGCAATTTCCCAGATGCGTTTAGACGTGTATTTAACCCTTCGCAGTGTTTTATTGTCTCGTTATGTATAGGAAGGGAATGAGTAAATATGGTGGAAATGTTTGCTCTACAAATATCTGAATACAAGAATATCCAGAGATTTCAAACTCCCATCTACAGAAAAAATGCTTTCACGAAACTGGAAAATTTCAAGAAGAACTGACTAGAGAATATTAATCTACCTTAGCTGAATTCTCCACAATCACCATTTTATGAATAAAGCCACAGCTCTGCCAGTTACCACTAATGTCATGCTATGCTTTGTTCCATGTTCTGGGTAGTTGCTGAGTTCTACTTCTGGGTAGTTGCCTGGCTGAGTTCTGGGTAGTTGCTGAGTTCTACTTCTGGGTAGTTGCCTGGCTGAGTTCTGGGTAGTTGCTGAGTTCTACTTCTGGGTAGTTGCTGAGTTCTAGTTCTGGGTAGTTGCTGAGTTCTACTTCTGGGTAGTTGCTGAGTTCTAGTTCTGGGTAGTTGCTGAGTTCTACTTCTGGGTAGTTGCCTGGCTGAGTTCTGGGTAGTTGCTGAGTTCTAGTTCTGGGTAGTTGCTTGGCTGAGTTCTGGGTAGTTGCTGAGTTCTACTTCTGGGTAGTTGCTGAGTTCTAGTTCTGGGTAGTTGCTGAGTTCTACTTCTGGGTAGTTGCTTGGCTGAGTTCTGGGTAGTTGCTGAGTTCTACTTCTGGGTAGTTGCTGAGTTCTACTTCTGGGTAGTTGCTTGGCTGAGTTCTGGGTAGTTGCTGAGTTCTACTTCTGGGTAGTTGCTGAGTTCTAGTTCTGGGTAGTTGCTGAGTTCTACTTCTGGGTAGTTGCTTGGCTGAGTTCTGGGTAGTTGCTGAGTTCTAGTTCTTCTATTTGGGTTGTTGCTGAGTTCTAGTTCTGGGTAGTTGCTGAGTTCTACTTCTGGGTAGTTGCCTGGCTGAGTTCTGGGTAGTTGCTGAGTTCTAGTTCTGGGTAGTTGCCTGGCTGAGTTCTGGGTAGTTGCTGAGTTCTAGTTCTGGGTAGTTGCCTGGCTGAGTTCTGGGTAGTTGCCTGGCTGGGTTGTGGTGCTGAGTTCTAGTTCTGGGTAGTTGCTGAGTTCTACTTCTGGGTAGTTGCCTGGCTGAGTTCTGGGTAGTTGCTGAGTTCTAGTTCTGGGTAGTTGCCTGGCTGAGTTCTGGGTAGTTGCTGAGTTCTAGTTCTGGGTAGTTGCTGAGTTCTAGTTCTGGGTAGTTGCTTGGCTGAGTTCTGGGTAGTTGCTGAGTTCTAGTTCTGGGTAGTTGCTGGGCTGGGTTTTGTGCTCTCTGAAGTTGCTGAGTTCTAGTCTAGTTCTGGGGGGCTGCTGAGCTCCGTATTTATGGAAGATGCTGAGTTCTGTATTAGTTACAGAATATAATAGATTGTAATGGGGGCTGACATGCCCGATTACCTTTTTTTATTTGAAACAATAGGTGCAAGAATGGCAGAACACAATGTAACAGACTGAACTTTAGCAAGCGATGCTGTGGGTGCTCCCCGTTCCCTCCCCATGCTTTTTATGTTATGTAGAATTCTGCAAGGATCCCTCCCTAGCAGCCAGTTATAAACACAGGCTTCTCCTTGGCAGCACTGAAAGTCATTTAACATCCTGCATGCAGGCACGAGGCGTCAGTGCATCCTGGAGCAGAGCATGCTGGGAAACTCCTCTTCCTAGATGAGGGGGAGGGAGGCAGGGAGACAGCATGTACCAGCACTGTGATACATTATAACCCAGAATAAATCAAACCATTTACATAATATATATAGCAGAGGGCCTCCAGCCATCCCAGCAGGATGTCGGCGTATCTCAATCTCTTGCTTTGTGGATACTGAGCTGAGTTTTGGGGTGACTTGGGGGCCGGATGTTGGGGTAATTTAGGGACAGAGTTGGGTCACGGTGGTGGCATTGACATATTTAGCTTATACGATGACCTTTTATCTTTACTTGGTAACATGTATTAAGTATAGATCTGTTTGTTCAGTAATTTTTTTATACTATGTTTTATTGCACCATTTTGCTTTTATTTATTTATGGAACATGGAAGTATTGTGGGTTATAACTGCATTATAAGTGTAGTAGATACATTTTTGCATGCCCAGTTTCTCTGAAAATAAAATTATGCTGACGGGTTTTCGCTGCCTTGCATATAATCCAAGCCCTGATGAATGACTCTCCCTTCTAAATCACATTATCTGCCCCTTGTAAACAAATTATTTCTCTGTCTGTTTTAAAATCTAGCAATTTATCTTCACAGGTCCATCTCCAGTTGCTTCAACAGCATCAACTCCCAGCGGTGATTCCGGGACACCCAAAGCATTAAGTCCACTGAAGGAATCTCCCCTAACGAGTCCAGAGTGTGAAGTGGATGTAGCACTTGTGTCAAGATTTCTGCAAACCAAGGAAAGTGACCGTCCTCAGCCAGAAGGAGCAAGTAGCGAAGTTGGGGCCACCACTGCTAGTCTCCCTCTGGATTCTGAGGCTTCCAGTGATTCTGGAATTGGGGAGCAAGTGTCTAGTGAAACCCAGAAAATAAGAGAAAGAGCTGAATCGCTGAGTCCTGATGCACTTGACACTAGAATTGTTATGGGAGAAGAAACATCCTGTAGCAACAATGAAACAGACAGTGCAGATAACCTAATTTCCAAGAGTGAGCCTCCCGCTGTGGATGCATTTGGGGGAACATCAGTGCCCATATCCGATCCCAAAGCTGAGACATCAGAGGGGAATTTTGAGCAGGAGAGTGACAGAGATGTCACTACTTCTGAGTCTTCTGCTGATTTGCACTTGGAATATAAAAAGTCTAATAAAGAGCCTCCTCTGAAAGAAAGCTTTTTTTCTCAGGGTGAAGCAGTTGATGATGTGCCTTCATTACTTCCCAAACCCACCAAAGAGTCACCCTGGAATTACACAGAGAGCGAGGCCGAAACATTTCAGAACAAGCATGCGTTTCATATGGACTCAGATCTATATACAACCGCCCCTTCGACTCCAGTAAAAACCATCTACAGACATCTAAAGTATCGTGGCATTAGTGATGACCAGAATGACATGGACAATGACAACTTGTCTTCACCTCCCACATCCCCATCTGGCTCTTATATGACTGCAGAAGGAGGCAGCTGGGCTTCCTCTGCCACTTCTAGTGGATCTCCATCCTGTTCCCCAAATTTGATGGCTGAGGCAGACACAATAGAAACTCCCAGTTTGTATGTAGATTCTCTGAATGATGATGAAGAAGGTCTTTGCATAGATCCATGTTGCATGTCCCCTGACATGTTAGTGGATGAAGAAATCTCAGATCTCTACAATAGAGATATTCATCCAGAAGACTTCTCTGCAGTCAACGAGGAGGCCGTGGATGAGGATCAAAGCAATGATGAGTTGAGTGAAGAGGAATATGAAGATGAAGATGAATGGGAAACTGACTTTGCACCATCTTTCACTAGTATGCCTCTTTGTCCTGGATATGTTAATACCACAGCTTCATTGGCCTTTTCCCCTGAAGATTTTGAATCTGAACCCCAACAAGCATCCAGTGCAAGCTGCTCTTCAGAAAGTGATGGGACCCTTCAGCCAACAAGCTCTGATGGACTACATCCTGAGTTACCTCTTGCCAGCCTTCAAAGTGCCGCAAATGATCCTATGATTCCTGCTTTCATGTTGCCATTCCAGGGAAGTTTGATATTTGAAGCTGAATCAATGGAAATCACTTTGTTTCCTCAAGGAGAATCAATAGAGAGTGAGGTGATCGATGGAGAGGAAGATGATGACAGCACCTCCGCCTCCCTCTTACATTCTCTGTCTGAGAATTCCATCAATGAAGGAGTCGATGAGTCCTTTGCTTACCAAGACGACACATCTGAATCATCAGATTCTGCATCATATGATGGAGAAGAAGATGAGAAACGGTATAGCACTGAACAATATGCCGTGACAACGGATTCTCCTCCACATGTCGCCGAGGCTCCCACAGTGATCCAGCATCAATCATCCAATTCCGGGTGTGAGAGTGAGATGGAGACATCTTCAGAACTATCTGATACTGAAAATGAAGGTGCCGTGAACATAAATGGTCCAGAACTGGCAGCGAGAGGGGAAAGCGCTTCATGTCAAGCGAATCCCATCTTCAAAAATCTAGATAAAACTGTTAATAACCATGAAAACCAAGGAACAAATCTTGATGAAGAATGTCAAGACGATGCTGGATTACCAATTTTAGCTCAAGACTTTCTATTAGCAAGTAGTAACATGCCAGGTACCAACCAAGACAGCTCAGGTGAGCTAGAGTATTCCGTCACCAGCAATAACCCTGATGAAGAAACAAACACAAAACATATAAGAAGTACCCTGGTTCTGACATCCGAAGGACAGGGTGAATCACTGTTTGTAAGTCCCTCTGGTTCAGATAGATTAGAAGATGGGGCAATTGGCTCATGGTCTGATAGCCCAGTAGAAGAACAATCTTCATCCTCAGAACTAGATGTAGTCCTTCAGGGTGGGATAGATAATGTTGGTGAATGTTTAATTGCTTGTTTTGACACAGATGAAGAACTTGACACTTTGCCACCACTCAACATCACAGCAGAAAGCTTAATAGAACACAGTAAAGATCACAAACAAAGTGGAAGACAGACATCCATGGCCATCAAGATGACTGATGATGTGTATGACTTCCCAGCTCAGGCTGAAGATTTAGGACAATTCGAGAAGTCTGATTCAAGCAGCAGGAACGATGTGTCAGAATCCCTCAAGGACGATAAGATAAATGCACCTTATATTCTGGAGGCGGGTAACTTTGGAAGCTATCGTAGAGATTTGCTAATGACTGACACAGAAACAAAAGAACCAGAATCAGAATCCAGTTTAAAAGAAGACATCAAGGAGGACGTGGCTGAGGGGGAGTGCTTGTTTGCTTGCTATGAGTCTGAAGATGATCTTGATGATGGAATTGATCGACAGTCAGTACTTGCTCAGTTCTACAAACAGCAGGAGGAAGCAGCTTCCAGTTTCGTTATAAATGAATTGACATGTGGAACTGAATCAAGCCTCTCTGCAGGAATTCTGGAAAATACAGAGTTACCGAAAATGGATACATGTCTTGAAGAGAGTGGTGCAGAGGCAAATAACATAGCCGATTGCAATCAGAATGCTGGTTATGACAACAAAATCAATATAAGTTCACCAAGTATACATGAGAACGAGGAGGAACATGAAGCCTCATCAAAGACTTCAGCTTTTATTAAGAGCAATCTGACCAACACTATCATTATTAGTCATAAGGTGGAAGATTCTTCAAAAGACGACATACACAACACAGAAAACAAAACACTAGAGACAGATGCTTCTAAAATACTGGATTCAGACGGTGACACTAATTTACAGGTGGAATCACAAGAAACTGAATCAGCCACTCGACCTACTTATGGTCATGAATCGTTCAGTGTACTTCCAACAAACATAGACAAATGCCAAGAAAAAGCAAAGTACAAAGACTTTTGCAAAGATGATTTGTTGAATAAAAAAAAAGAAATCACAAGTGCAGATCATATGCCAGACCAAACGCAAGACACAAATTATGCAAATAATGAATTAACTGCCAGTAAGAATGAGCCTGAAGAGATGATGAAAATGGAAGATTGTAACCAGCATGTTTTTAAAGAGCCACCAGATCGAGAGCAAGGAAACAGCCTGGACCCTGTTTCAGGGAAAAAATCAATTCATAAACTGGATGTTGGACCTGTTTTACAGCCATGCAATATCGCCTTCATTGCAGCAGAAGCAGGTCCTCTAGATGAATGTGTTCTAGAGGTAGAAGAGCATGGAAATGATGAAGCACTTGAGATATCACCTGTGAAAAATCAAAATGAAACTGAAGATCCTAACATTTGTGACCAAACAAGAATTGGAATTGACATATCGTCGCATGAAAGTGGAGACCCCAGTGTACCTGTAATTCCTAATGCTCACCAGGCAGATGAGACGGATTCAAACACCACCAAGGAATCTGTAAGTAAGGAGGTTCTTTCCAATTCTTCAACTGCTATAGTATCTTCTTTGATTGGAACTACGGAGGACAGAAACGTTTCAGTGCAGGATGAGTGCACAGAAAAGATTTCACTGCCCCCTGTTAGTACCCCTAGCAACGAATGTATAGATGAAAGTGGAATTATTTTTACAAATAATGCAAACAATGCTTTTAACCATCAGACATGTGGGATCCATGAAGTAGCAGAAGATCAGGACTCAGTGACATTGCTATCAGGTAACATTGAGAATTTGGGAGATACTAATAAACAAGTAGAAGAGGCATTATGTTCAACTCCAAAAGCAGTTGAGGAGCAGATATCCAGTTTAGAAGCTGTTCCAATGACTTTATGCACAGACCCACCTTCTTGTATAAATAGTCTAAGAAGGGAAGAGTCCACTCCTCATGATAACTTGATTCAAGATGTCAGGCAAGATCTTTCCAGTGCCTTTTTAGAAAAAAATTTAAGAATGACAAGCCAGCCTGATATATCCAGTGATGCCCAAGAAATGAGTAGGCTACTGCAAGGTTCCTTTGGTAAATTGGAGGCCTTGGACCTTAGTATGCGCTCTTGCTCTTCAGAAGCCAGCATGTCCAAATCCATCTGTAACACCACCAAGGTCAAAGGTGAAGGGAGGCTAGTTTCTGATTTAGCTGGTGATGTTAAGGAAAAGCCAAATGGGGAAGAAGATCCTAACTGTGAAATGTTCGGCCAGGCTTTTGCACTGGAGACATGTTGTGAGGCAACCGTAGTGGATACTGGCCCAAAAAATAAGTTATGTGAGAAAACACACTGTGAGATTGCCACCACAGCAGCAACCAATTTAGAGAATAAAGACATAATTCCCTCTAATGAATTTCTTGCACACAAGAACAAAGTGGACGACAAGAGTGAGATGGGAAAAAGTTTTAATCTGGAGTTAGAGGATGTGTGTGATCAGTCACCACAGTGGGAAAGAGAAAAACAAATTGAAATGTCTAGTATTGCAGAAGATATCAAACCTAACAAAGATTCAAGCATTGAGTCATCTAAAGAGATGCAACCACCTCATTTTCTGACTGAGACCCAAGAGGAGACTGTACGATCACCAACACAGCACCCTAATACAATGGTGGACTCTGAAAGTGGGATTCCCCCACAGGGCCCATTGCAGAATGGAGCTGCACTATCCCCGACCCTCTGTGCTCCAGATAATGGGAATGTTGATGGCTATACCTCCTCCGGGCTCAGTAAAGTGCCTCCATCATATCTTTGCCCAATGCAGGATGTCGGCTCCAAGGATAAAAGGGAAATCAAAATGGCTGTTTCAGAGGATATTTCTAGAAATTCCAAGAGCCCTCCGACAGGTAAAATAATTCAGCATGCTACTTACCTACACATTCTACTGGTCAGTCTAGATTAACCCCTTCCTTACCATCAGTGTTTTCTCAGGTTAACTTTGGAGAAAAAAAAAATTCATTTTCTGTGCTGATTCATACTTCCCAACATTTCACATGGACAAAGAGGGACACTTTAATTACAGGTGTGTGAGTGGGCATGTGGCCAGGGGTAGGGCTTTTCTGAGTGTGACCAGGACAGGCTATTCTGCGTGTCAGTGGGGATGTGGTCAGGGTGGGGGATGTTGTATGTGGGGGTGTGACCAGGGACAGGCTATTCTGCGTGTCAGTGGGGATGTGTGTAACCGAGGAGCAGGGGTTAATCCAAGGGCTCTCCGCTGGGAACAAAGATTCAGCATACAAAGTCACAGGAACACAGCATAATCCACCTCCCCAAGGACTAGACGACACATAGTCTGGGAGTCAACTGCCAGCTTTATTCACAAGTCTGCTTTTATGCATTTCTCCCATGCAAGGGAGGTAGCTTTCATAATTAGTACAGTAGCCAATTGTAACACGGTCACCTCCCCTCCCTCTCCTCCCCTTAGATTAGAACTTAAACAGATTAGTGGGGACAGAGTTTTCCCCACTTTCTGGATGTCCCCTAAATACAGGGGGTACAGGGACAAATAAGGGGTCCCCTGGTAGGTCTGATCTGGGTGAACAACATACTTAAAATTCACCCAGATCGAACCAGGGGTTTGGGAGTTACAGACAGTTAAAGATTTGACCGACTGCATGGCAAAAGTATCCGAAAATAGTTCCATGTATTTTGGCCCTGCAGTCGGTCACAGAAAAGGGAATGAAATACACGAATTGCCTGGGTTATAGAGCCTGGGGAGGGTTTAAACGAATTCCCTTGTTCGTGGGGTTCTTTCTACCGAACGGCAGGTCATTCGGTAGTTTCCACACAAATTCATGGAAGTCTGGAGGTCTCAGCGGTGTTTGCCTAGTCGAGTGTCCGATTTTAGTTCCAGACACTCGACGGCAAAACACAGCTGTTCGGGAGTTTAAGATGGCCGCCGCCACGTGTTCGTTTCCCGAATGGCGGCCACCCAGAGGACAAAGAACACATTACACAGATTGCCAATTACCCGTTTGCAACATTGTTGCAAACGATAATTGGAGGCACACTTATTCCTGGGTGGTCTGGTTGTTCGGTAGTTTCACTCAATATAATGAATGGAGTGATTCTACCGAACAATCAGGGGAATGCTGCATATACATATACAATCTAGCCGAACACACAGAAACATACATAATATAAAAGACATCCTTACTGTAATCTGCTACAAAGTCTTAAAGAGATATTGTTCCTAAAAAGTCATATGTCCACGGATGGTCCTTAAAGGGCCAGTAGCAGCAATATAAAATACCACATGCCCAAATATTGCATTCCAAAGTACAAATTCACCAGGGGCCATAGTCAGCAGGTAGGAGGCGGGCAGCCAGGCCTCTCCAATGTCCAGTGGCGAGGCGGCTTTCGCCACATTGTGGTCAGGGTGGGGGATGTTGTATGTGGGGGTGTGACCAGGGACAGGCTATTCTAATCCAGTGGGGGTGTGGCCAAGAGTGGGTCTGTTCTGCGTGTGAGTGGGTGTGTGGCCAGGGGTGGATGTTCTGAGAAATTTTAGGTGATTTATAATAACAATTTAAAACAAGTACAATGTATCTTATTTACACATACTGATTTCTAAATACATTTAAAGGACCACTATAGACACCCAGACCACTTCAGCTCAATGAAGTGGTCTGGGTGCCAGGACCCCCAGGTTTTAACCCTGCGGCTGTAAACATAGCAGATTTTCACAGTGAGAGGACGCTGCCGTCCATAGGAAAGCATTGAGAAATGCTTTCCTATGGACTTCTTGCCGCGCATGCGCATTCGGCGGAAGAGGGAGGAGAGCGCCAAAGGAGCCCGGCACTGGCGAACGGAAAACCCCTTTACCCCTCTAGAGCCCGGCGGGGGGTCCCTGAGGGTGGGGGACTGAGGGAGTGCCAGGAAAACAAGTTTGTTTTCCTGGCACTATAGTGGTCCTTTAATGTAGTTTAAAAACCCATTACTGGGAGTATTATTGTTGTGGAGCTCTGTTATACACTCAGACAAATTACTGGGAGTGTTATTGCTGTGGAGCTCTGTTATAAATGCAGTCACATTACTGGGAGTATTTTTGCTGTGGAGCTCTGTTATACACGCAGACACATTACTGGGAGCATTATTGCTGTGGAGCTCTGTTATACACTCAGACACATTACTGGGAGTATTATTGCTGTGGAGCTCTGTTATACACCCAGACACATTACTGGGAGTATTATTGCTGTGGAGCTCTGTTATACACTCAGGCACGTTACTGGGAGTATTATTACTGTGGAGCTCTGTTATACACTCAGACACATTACTGGGAGTATTATTGTTGTGGAGCTCTGTTATACACTCAGACAAATTACTGGGAGTGTTATTGTTGTGGAGCTCTGTTATAAATGCAGTCACATTACTGGGAGTATTTTTGCTGTGGAGCTCTGTTATACACGCAGACACATTACTGGGAATATTATTGCTGTGGGGCTCTGTTATGAATGCAGTCATATTACTGGGAGTATTTTTGCTGTGGAGCTCTGTTATATACTCAGACACATTACTGGGAGTATTATTGCTGTGGAGCTCAGTTATACACTCAGACACATTACTGGGAGTATTATTGCTGTGGAGCTCTGTTATACACTCAGACACATTACTGGGAGTATTATTACTGTGGGGCTCTGTTAAACACTCAGACATTACTGGGAGTATTATTGCTGTGGAGCTTTGTTATACACTCAGACACATTACTGGGAGTATTATTACTGTGGGGCTCTGTTAAACACTCAGACATTACTGGGAGTATTATTGCCGTGGAGCTCTGTTATACACTCAGGCACATTACTGGGAGTATTATTGCCGTGGAGCTCTGTTATACACTCAGGCACATTACTGGGAGTATTGTTGCTGTGGAGCTCTGTTATACACTCAGACAAATTACTAGGAGTATTATTGCTGTGGAGCTCTGTTATACACTCAGACACATTACTGGGAGTATTATTGCTGTGGAGCTCTGTTATACACTCAGACACAATACTGGGAGTATTATTGCTGTGGAGCTCTGTTATACACTCAGACACATTACTGGGAGTATTATTGCTGTGGAGCTCTGTTATACACTCAGACACATTACTGGGAGTATTATTGTTGTGGAGCTCTGTTATACACTCAGACACATTACTGGGAGTACTATTGCTGTGGAGCTCTGTTATACACTCAGACATTACTGGGAGTATTATTGCTGTGGAGCTCTGTTATACACTCAGACACATTACTGGGAGTATTATTGCAGTGGGGCTCTGTTATACACTCAGACACATTACTGGGAGTATTATTGCTGTGGGCTCTGTTATACACTCAGATACATTACTGGGAGTATTATTGCTGTGGAGCTCTGTTATACACTCAGACACATTACTGGGAGTATTATTGCTGTGGAGCTCTGTTATACACTCAGACACATTATTGGGAGTATTATTGCTGTGGAGCTCTGTTATACACTCAGACACATTATTGGGAGTATTATTGCTGTGGAGCTCTGTTATACACTCAGACACATTACTGGGAGTATTATTGCTGTGGAGCTCTGTTACACACTCAGACACATTACTGGGAGTATTATTGCTGTGGAGCTCTGTTATACACTCAGACACATTACATGCACGATGTAACCGGATGCCCTCGGGCTCTGCGGAGTACGGTTGTGATAGTTACAAATATTGCAGCGATGGTACTGTGTTCTTTAACCCCTTAAGGACACATGACATGTGTGACATGTCATGATTCCCTTTTATTCCAGAAGTTTGGTCCTTAAGGGGTTAAATGGACACAAATAACAAAAAGTGATCCTCAATTAAATGCATTATATAGAAAAATATGAAAAAACTGCTTTTGACTTTTTTTTTCTGACAATGTGCTTTTTTTAATTTAGAATTTTGTTGTGTAGTGATACATTAACAGATTCTCATAAAATAGCAAAATAGGAGACAATTGCAAATATGAAACATCTGCATACGTAAAGCATCCAGAAAAAGATTTGAAACAATTCAGTTGGGTTTAACTAATAAAATAAAGTATAGTAAGCACAAACAGAGTATGATCACATAAAGAATAGCGAGGTTATGAGATTATAGTGTCCTGGAGAAAGGGTTTATGGCCGGATACCAATCATTCAAGCAGTCCCTATCCCGGATGTTATCCTACACAACACAGTTCGCAATGAGCCAACAGCCAGAGGGCCAGTGATAGGTGTGGAAGTCTCATATAAGGAGTGGCAACCACAGAGCCCCGTGAGCTGCTGCGTCAACAGCTTCAACTCAAGACCAGTCTCCTGGTAGATCCATGGCCCGTGCCTGCCTCGGTAAAAGTGATAGCATACGTGGACGGTGTTGCAATGTTCTGGGCCCCCGGAGTTATGGACTATGGTAATCAGGTGCATTATCTCGGGTATCTCACAGTGAATGTGAGGAACACACGGCTGTAGATTTGAGTGTGGGGCAAGTATCTGTGACTCATCCTCCAAGGCCTGCCGGCGGACTTGAAGCCTGAGCCAGGAAATGGGACAGCTTGTCACGGGAGTCTGCTGAGCGCATGACTTCCGCTATTTTAGAGAAGGGGGATTTGCTGCGGATGTCAGCGAAATTAAAGGTGGAGGGATCGTCCTCCTCCCTCTCACCCACATAGTAGGCCTCTTGTAGGCCGTAGGTCCTCCACAAACAAAATCCTCCAGCTGGTTAATTATAGTATTTATGAGCCCACAGGGCAGTGGGACAGCTTGAGATGCTGTGTGACTCCTGATGCAGAAAATAAGCATATAAAAAGGTTAAAAATAACACCTTTACTCAGGGCGCTCTCGGAAGATGCAACCACTCAGCATGGCAGTCAGACCCCATCCCCGAATATGCGCTCTTTTTAATAGATGTTGCACTCGTTTACTACTTTGCATACATTGTTACTCAAAAAGACTCAGACAAAAAAAATAATGAAAAAAAACCCACCATTAAAAATCCTAAATCCATGACGTGGCTCTGGCAATCAAAAGCCTCGTATTGTGGTCTCCGGGGACTAATCTTATCTGGAAATGATTTTATGATATATGTGATCACCCCAAAGTATTGGGGGGCGAGGGGGCATGTATGGTAAAATGGTAAACGTTCCCGGTGTTTTCCTTGCTGTTACTCCTACTGAATTCATGAGACAAAGATAATTTATTATTCAATTGTACTCTGTGCATCCGGATAAAATGATAGCAGATAGTGAGCGGTACTGAGAATGGGATTAAATAACATAATGTGGGAATTATTAGACCTGACCCAATTAATGGGACATTGAATGCATTTCCAATTAGCAGAATGAGGCTGCACATTGTACAGATTAACCAGATTTTTATGGTTTTCCTAACCTAATTGTTTCCTTACCACCTAAGCAGGCTAACCTTTGCTTGTATCTACTACCCTTTCAGTTTATCCTTATACCCTAATTAACCGTCCTTAGTATCAGAAGCTGCTACTTTGTTTTTTTATTTCTTTGTTTGTAGCTGATGCAAGTTCCAGACCCGTCAAACTGAGCGCAGAGACCCCAGAATGCAGCACGTCACAAGGGGTGCCACAGTCGTCATCCGTGGAGGACAAGACAGACAGGAAACGAGCCCCTCAGTCTGATCCTAGCTCCTCCAGTGAGAGTGAATTCACCTCCCAGGGACCGGAGATGCACCTACTCAGGGAAACGCCTCCAGTCACCCTACTTGGCATCAACAAGCCCCTACTGGGGCAGCGAGGCTGTGAATTACTGAGTCACAGAGGTAACAAGGTCCTGGGGCCCAAAGTACCACCAAAACCAAGTTTCTTTATCACATACAACCAGCAGTTCTGTCCAATCTCACTGGGCTAGCAGACTAGCATGTTGGCTACTTCCTAGAATTCATCTAACTTATCTATCTTATATATATATATTATCAGAATGCGGTGAGTTACAGAGCATTATATATATTATCAGAATGAGTGAGTTACAGAGCATTATATATATTATCAGAATGCAGTGAGTTACAGAGCATTATATATATTATCAGAATGCGGTGAGTTACAGAGCATTATATATATTATCAGAATGCAGTGAGTTACAGAACATTATATATATTATCAGAATGCGGTGAGTTACAGAGCATTATATATATTATCAGAATGCAGTGAGTTACAGAGCATTATATATATTATCAGAATGCGGTGAGTTACAGAGCATTATATATATTATCAGAATGCGATGAGTTACAGAGCATTATATATATTATCAGAATGCGGTGAGTTACAGAGCATTATATATATTATCAGAATGCAGTGAGTTACAGAGCATTATATATATTATCAGAATGCGGTGAGTTACAGAGCATTATATATATTATCAGAATGCGGTGAGTTACAGTGCATTATATATATTATCAGAATGCGGTGAGTTACAGAGCATTATATAGATTATCAGAATGCAGTGAGTTACAGAACATTATATATATTATCAGAATGCGGTGAGTTACAGAGCATTATATATATTATCAGAATGCGGTGAGTTACAGAATATTATATATATTATCAGAATGCGGTGAGTTACAGAGCATTATATATATTATCAGAATGCAGTGAGTTACAGAACATTATATATATTATCAGAATGCGATGAGTTACAGAGCATTATATAGATTATCAGAATGCGGTGAGTTACAGAGCATTATATATATTATCAGAATGCGGTGAGTTACAGAGCATTATATATATTATCAGAATGCGATGAGTTACAGAGCATTATATACATTATCAGAATGCGGTGAGTTACAGAGCATTATATATATTATCAGAATGCGGTGAGTTACAGAGCATTATATATATTATCAGAATGCGGTGAGTTACAGAGCATTATATATATTATCAGAATGCGGTGAGTTACAGAGCATTATATATATTATCAGAATGCGGTGAGTTACAGAGCATTATATATATTATCAGAATGCGATGAGTTACAGAGCATTATATATATTATCAGAATGCGGTGAGTTACAGAGCATTATATATATTATCAGAATGCGGTGAGTTACAGAGCATTATATATATTATCAGAATGCGGTGAGTTACAGAGCATTATATATATTATCAGAATGCGGTGAGTTACAGAGCATTATATATATTATCAGAATGCGGTGAGTTACAGAGCATTATATATATTATCAGAATGCGGTGAGTTACAGAGCATTATATATATTATCAGAATGAGTGAGTTACAGAGCATTATATATATTATCAGAATGCAGTGAGTTACAGAGCATTATATATATTAGCAGAATGCGGTGAGTTACAAAGCATTATATATATTATCAGAATGCGGTGAGTACAGAGCATTATATATATTATCAGAATGCAGTGAGTTACAGAGCATTATATAGATTATCAGAATGCGGTGAGTTACAGAGCATTATATATATTATCAGAATGCGGTGAGTTACAAAGCATTATATATATTATCAGAATGCGGTGAGTTACAGAGCATTATATATATTATCAGAATGCGGTGAGTTACAGAGCATTATATATATTATCAGAATGCGGTGAGTTACAGAGCATTATATATATTATCAGAATGCGGTGAGTTACAGAGCATTATATAGATTATCAGAATGCGGTCAGTTACAGAGCATTATATATATTATCAGAATGCAGTGAGTTACAGAGCATTATATATATTATCAGAATGCGGTGAGTTACAAAGCATTATATATATTATCAGAATGCGGTGAGTTACAGAGCATTATATATATTATCAGAATGCGGTGAGTTACAGAGCATTATATATATTATCAGAATGCGGTGAGTTACAGAGCATTATATATATTATCAGAATGAGTGAGTTACAGAGCATTATATATATTATCAGAATGCAGTGAGTTACAGAGCATTATATATATTATCAGAATGCGGTGAGTTACAGAGCATTATATATATTATCAGAATGCAGTGAGTTACAGAACATTATATATATTATCAGAATGCGGTGAGTTACAGAGCATTATATATATTATCAGAATGCAGTGAGTTACAGAGCATTATATATATTATCAGAATGCGGTGAGTTACAGAGCATTATATATATTATCAGAATGAGGGTGAGTTACAGAGCATTATATATATTATCAGAATGCGGTGAGTTACAGAGCATTATATATATTATCAGAATGCAGTGAGTTACAGAGCATTATATATATTAGCAGAATGCGGTGAGTTACAGAGCATTATATATATTATCAGAATGCAGTGAGTTACAGAGCATTATATAGATTATCAGAATGAGTGAGTTACAGAGCATTATATATATTAGCAGAATGAGTGAGTTACAGAGCAATATATATATTATCAGAATGCGGTGAGTTACAGAACATTATATATATTATCAGAATGAGGGGAGTTACAGAGCATTATATATATTATCAGAATGGGTGAGTTACAGAGCATTATATATATTAGCAGAATGAGTGAGTTACAGAGCAATATATATTATCAGAATGCGGTGAGTTACAGAACATTATATATATTATCAGAATGCGGTGAGTTACAGAGCATTATATATATTATCAGAATGCGGTGAGTTACAGAGCATTATATAGATTATCAGAATGCGGTCAGTTACAGAGCATTATATATATTATCAGAATGCAGTGAGTTACAGAGCATTATATATATTATCAGAATGCGGTGAGGTACAGAGCATTATATATATTTTCAGAATGCGGTGAGTTACAGAGCATTATATATATTATCAGAATGCGGTGAGTTACAGAGCATTATATATATTATCAGAATGCGGTGAGTTACAGAGCATTATATATATTATCAGAATGAGTGAGTTACAGAGCATTATATATATTATCAGAATGCAGTGAGTTACAGAGCATTATATATATTAGCAGAATGCGGTGAGTTACAAAGCATTATATATATTATCAGAATGCGGTGAGTACAGAGCATTATATATATTATCAGAATGCGGTGAGTTACAGAGCATTATATATATTATCAGAATGCGGTGAGTTACAGAGCATTATATATATTATCAGAATGCGGTGAGTTACAGAGCATTATATATATTATCAGAATGCGGTGAGTTACAGAGCATTATATATATTATCAGAATGCGGTGAGTTACAGAGCATTATATATATTATCAGAATGCGATGAGTTACAGAGCATTATATAGATTATCAGAATGCAGTGAGTTACAGAGCATTATATAGATTATCAGAATGCGGTGAGTTACAGAGCATTATATATATTATCAGAATGCGGTGAGTAACAGAGCATTATATATATTATCAGAATGCGGTGAGTTACAAAGCATTATATATATTATCAGAATGCGGTGAGTTACAGAGCATTATATATATTATCAGAATGCAGTGAGTTACAGAGCATTATATATATTATCAGAATGCGTGAGTTACAGAGCATTATATATATTAGCAGAATGCGGTGAGTTACAAAGCATTATATATATTATCAGAATGCGGTGAGTTACAGAGCATTATATATATTATCAGAATGCGGTGAGTTACAGAGCATTATATATATTATCAGAATGCGGTGAGTTACAGAGCATTATATATATTATCAGAATGCGGTGAGTTACAGAGCATTATATATATTATCAGAATGCAGTGAGTTACAGAGCATTATATATATTATCAGAATGCGGTGAGTTACAGAGCATTATATATATTATCAGAATGCGTGAGTTACAGAGCATTATATAGATTATCAGAATGAGTGAGTTACAGAGCATTATATATATTAGCAGAATGCGGTGAGTTACAGAGCATTATATATATTAGCAGAATGAGTGAGTTACAGAGCAATATATATATTATCAGAATGCGGTGAGTTACAGAACATTATATATATTATCAGAATGAGGGGAGTTACAGAGCATTATATATATTATCAGAATGGGTGAGTTACAGAGCAATATATATTATCAGAATGCGGTGAGTTACAGAACATTATATATATTATCAGAATGCGGTGAGTTACAGAGCATTATATAGATTAGCAGAATGCAGTGAGTTACAGAGCATTATATATATTAGCACTACTATGCCTATCTGTATCACTCAGGTTCCTGTAACGACTCCGAGAGCAACGATGAATCTCTCCCTGAGTTGGAAGAGCCTGATTTGACTGAACCGAGGACAACAGCGAGTCAGGTACTGTCCCACCGTTCACTTAAACAGGGGCAGAATGTATCATGGCTCCTCAATGGGGGGGTTTGTACGACAGAGGTATGGGCTTGCTATATCATAGGATCTCGGGGTGGGCTGTAACACAGAGCTGGGGCCTTGCTATATCATAGGATCTCGGGGTGGGCTGTAACACAGAGGTGGGGCTTATTATATCCTAGGATTTCAGGGTGAATCTATAAAACAGAGGTGGGGGAAGTTTATATCCTAGGACCTGGGGCGGGTGGGCTGTAAGAGAGAGGTGGGGGCAGGTTATATGACAAACACTCAGGGGGTGGGCCTCTAAGACAGAGATGGTGGCTTGTTATATCCTAGAACCTTGGGGCTGGGCTGTAAGTCAGATGTGGGGGCTTCTAATATCCTAGGATCTCAGGAGTAGGCTGTAAGACAAAGGCTGGGGCAGGTTAAAAGACACACCCTCAGGGTGGGTCTTTAAGACACAGGTGGGGGCTTGTTATATCCTAGGACCTTTAGGGGTGGGTCTGTAAGAGAGGTGGGGGCAGGTTATATCCTAGGACCTCAGGGGTGGGTCTGTAAGACAGAGGTGGGGGCAGGTTATATGACAGGCCCTCAGGGGTGGGTCTGTAAGACAGAGGTGGGGGCAGGTTATATGACAGGCCCTCAGGGTGGGTCTGTAGCACAGAAGTACACAGATACACACACACATACCACACAGATACACACACTACACACATACAAACACACAGATACACACACATTAAAACAATTAAGCCACCCAGCAGGTTCTTACCTTCTGCTGATTGTGGCTGGTGGGAGTTGGGGGTCTTAATTTGGAAACACTGGTGGGGTCCCGGTAGGTGCTCTGTGTGTTCAGTGTCCGTTTGTAAACCATTCACATGTCTCCCCATCCCAGTTCACAGTCAGTCTGTGTTCCTGGAGGACAGGGGCGATGAGTGTCTATCAGACCATTCACCTTGGTCATGTGATCGTTTTATCTCCGCAGAACCAGCTGGCGCACTGTGCTGGATCTGGCGAGGAATCGATCAACAAAGCCAAACAAAGTCGCAGCGAGAAGAAAGCAAGGAAGGTAAGTGATCATAATGTGGGGTCAGCGCTTGTATTACCCCCTCTTACATGCCCCTATCACCATCTCTTATTTATCCTATATTACCCCCTCTTAACTGCCCCAAATCACCTTTTAGTATTCTGTATTACCCCCTCTTAACTGTCCCAAATCACCTCTCTTAGTATTCTGTATTACCCCCTCTTACATGCCCCAAATCACCTCTTAGTATTCTGTATTACCCCCTCTTAACTGCCCCTATCACCCTCTCTTAGTATTCTGTATTACCCCCTCTTAACTGTCCCTATCACCCTCTCTTAGTATTCTGTATTACCCCCTCTTAACTGCCCCAAATCACCTCTTAGTATTCTGTATTACCCCCTCTTAACTGCCTCTATCACCCTCTCTTAGTATTCTGTATTACCCCCTCTTAACTGCCCCTATCACCCTCTCTTAGTATTCTGTATTACCCCCTCTTAACTGCCCCTATCACCCTCTCTTAGTATTCTGTATTACCCCCTCTTAACTGCCCCAAATCACCACATTTCACTGGCAAGCTATTCATTAACAAGCTTTCAGACGTTTGAGATTACACGTGAAGAAGAGAGCGCTGAGAGACCGCATCTTACTATATCAGTATTCTAACCATTCAGGGACCGAGAGCGCAGCTGAAACAGCCTGTTCATAGCAGAATGATTGAGTCTGTGACATAAAATGCTGCTAAGTGCATTTCACGTTGAATCATTTAGTCAGCGGCCTTGGCCTGAGAGATGTTGCAGAGAATATTGTCTCCAGTTTACTTTGTATCGGTTCCATGTGTTGTGCTTGTATCCGGTCGTCCTAGGCGATGTCCAAACTTGGCCTGCGGCAGATACACGGTGTCACCAGGATCACCATTCGGAAATCCAAAAACATCTTGTTTGTTATCACAAAGCCCGACGTGTTCAAAAGCCCGGCATCAGACATCTACATTGTGTTCGGAGAAGCCAAGGTAGGCAGGAGGGAAGCATATTATTCCTTTTTAGCAATGACCCGCTGGTTTTAATGCATGCGGCTTACGTCACACCCAGCACCATGAAATTTGTAGCAGTGGTGCGCTAGGGACTGAATACAAAGATTTACTTACAGACGTTTTTTTGGCGCCTGGTATTACAACGGTTGTGATGGATACATTGCTGGCTGATAGATCATTCAGAAGAAATCCTTGTTGGCCCTAGCTTAAACCCTGGATTGTTGTATCAGCCATTACTAGGGATCACTAACCCAGAGCTCCTAAAATGTCTTTACATTTTATTGCAGATTGAAGATCTGTCCCAACAAGTCCACAAAGCGGCGGCCGAGAAGTTTAAAGTCCCCATGGAACACTCCCCGCTGATCACAGAAGCAGCGCCCACCCTGACCATCAAGGAGGAGAGTGGGGAAGAGGAGGAGGTAAACCAACCAATCACTGTATCTGGGACACAATCTCTTCATTGTGTTAGCAGAATCACAAGCGATTTCCATGGTGACTGCTCAACGTTTAGCTGGTTTCCTCTGAATTGCATTTTACACGGAACACACGTGTCGGATAAGGATTAGATTTTATATGGCACTAATTAATTTATCAAACAGAGGCACCCCGAAGGAACTGCTCTGGTTGTAGAATTCATATGTTGGAGGGACAAATCAAACATTCTGTGATCAGCACTTTTCATTCACTGCACTGTCTGACTTAGAGTGTAAAACCCCAATGGCAGAGTACAGAATATTTGATAGAGTTCTAACCTCAACATATGAGGAAAGGGATTTAGGGGTGATTATTTCTGATGACTTAAAGGTAGGCAGACAATGTAATAGAGCAGCAGGAAATGCTAGCAGAATGCTTGGTTGTATAGGGAGAGGTATTAGCAGTAGAAAGAGGGAAGTGCTCATGCCATTGTACAGAACACTGGTGAGACCTCACTTGGAGTATTGTACACAGTACTGGAGACCGTATCTTCAGAAGGATATTGATACCTTAGAGAGGGTTCAGAGAAGGGCTACTAAACTGGTTCATGGATTGCGGGATAAAACTTACCAGGAAAGGTTAAAGGATCTTAACATGTATAGCTTGGAGGAAAGACGAGACGGGGGGGATATGATAGAAACATTTAAATATATAAAGGGAATCAACACAGTAAAGGAGGAGACTATATTTAAAAGAAGAAAAACTACCACAACAAGAGGACATAGTCTTAAATTAGAGGGACAAAGGTTTAAAAATAATATCAGGAAGTATTACTTTACTGAGAGGGTAGTGGATGCATGGAATAGCCTTCCAGCTGAAGTGGTATAGGTTTACAGAGTGAGGAAGTTTAGCATAAGGCTATCCTAGCTATAAGATAAGGCCAGGGACTCAAAAAGGTATTTTGAAATATTGGGCAGACCAGATGGGCTGAATGGTTCTTATCTGCCGTCACATTCCATGTTTCTAAGAGGAGGAGATTATGTGTTGTAGTGAAGTCATGTGAAGCGTTGAAGTGGTTTCTCCATTGTATCGTGGCTTGTTCATTGTAAATTAACATTCTGGGCCCCAGACACTTCCCTGAAAGAGCTCCGTGCAGGCTATTTGAATATATGTAAACTTATTTTACTAAATGCAAACCACATTGTCAAAGACTTTGTATGTTGCAGCTTTGCACGTTCCAGTCACTGAGCCCACCTTCATATAAACATACAGTAAGGTAGCAATGGGAGGGTCTACACCCTACATCTACAGAGCTTAATGGGTAATTCCTGCACCAATCCTGGCCTCCAGCTTCCCCTCCTCAGCAACTGACTTCTACTCCTATCAGCCTTAGCCATTGGTGTACAGTCACAACAAGAGAGAAATCTTCTTATTCAATAACACTGCACCAAAACTACACAAACAGGACATTCCTTGCTGTGGGCTTCTGTGACAAAACAGCAAAGTTTGGTAGTTGAGGGGTTAATGGGAAATTATTCCACTAAATAAATAACATTCCACTCCGTTAATTATCTTAAAGGGACACTGTAGGCACCCAGACCATTTCAGCTCATTGAAGTAGTCTGGGTGCTGTATCCCTTTTACATTTAGTGCTGCCATGTAAAACACGTTCCAGAGAAAGTTCAGTGTTTACATTGCAGCTCTAAGTCTGCCCACATTGGATGTTTACCAGGCAGACACTGGGGGCGCTTCCGGGATCCAAACAGACTATTGGTCCGGTATCTGACGCTGGAGGTCCTCATGCTATGCATTGATTCAATGCTTTCATATGGGGAGGTCTAATGCGCTTGTTGCAGGACAGAGGAGAGCTTCGACCCAGTGCCGAGGGAAATCGGCACTGGAATAGGGTAAGTAAATAAAGGGTTTTTAACCATTTTTTTACCGGGGAGGCAGAGGGATCGGTAGTGCAAGGAATACAGCTTTGTATGCCTGGCACTATAGTATCCCTTTAATTTGCCAAACCAACCATTCAACTACTGTGCGTTTCATACGTATTGTATTATACTGCCACCTAGTGGCTATAGTGCATAGTGACCCTCTCACCTACAGGTTATGCTGCCCCATTCATTCATTGCTAAAGGTTTATTTAGAAGATATCAATACATACAGTATCATTGAATGGTTATAGACATTCAAAAACACGGTTTGGGTTTTCTCTGGTTATGGAACAGCCTGCAAGGCCCCTGAATCCTGCTGCTATACATTGTGACAAAGCAAGGGAACCCACTATTAACTATATCACGCTTTCAGCACAGAATATACTCACACAGTAGTGATTATTTAATAAGGTGTTTAATATTCACTCACATGGCTGGATTTACTAAACTGTGAATTATGGTAAATTGGAAGCTGAATTAATTACAGGATTAAATAGATCATCTGTGATTACATTTGGAGGAAGTTTCAGTGCTGGGAGACTCCCAGAGGTAGAATAATTAGGAAGTGAACTCGTCTTATTAAACTCCAGAATATTTTCTCCTTCACTGGATCTTTAACTGTTTCCTGACAGGTGGACGAGACTGGGTTGGAGGTGCGTGACATTGAACTAGTAATGGCGCAGGCCAATGTATCCCGCGCGAAGGCGGTGCGAGCACTGAGACACAACAATAATGATATTGTGAACGCTATTATGGTAAGATATGTACAATAAATATACCCTTCACACTTTATATCTACATAGAAACAGATGGGTCATAGAGCCTCTTTTTGTTTTTTGTGGACGACTCTAAACTCCCTAAGTGGATATCACAAAACCTCATCTCACCTACTTTGTGGGTTCCATTGACCCCAATATTTTTTTTTTATTTACAGGTTATAACCTGGACACTTATTGTTAGGGGCTTAATTTGGGTGGATGGGAGACGTTTTTTTATTCCCAGTTTCTCCTTGCCAGGCAGACATTTGCACGTTTTACCAGACACCGGGCCAACCTCTAGCTTTTGAATAGAATTATTTTTCTTTCCAATAGGTTTATATTTGCATCTCTTGGGGGTATTTTTAACTATTGGTAAAATGTGTTAAGAGATGGGATAGAAGCGCTGGTAATTCCATTTGATGGGGGTCTGACGATGGCATTAAAAATGTACGTCCATCTCCTCCTACGGACCCAGTCATCCTCTGCAGAGGGAACAGCATGACCCGTTATGTATTTGTGCCCTATGTTACTGTTACTCACACAGCATGCTGACTTGTTCCTGGAGAGTGATGTGCATTGCCCCGTATTTAATTCTAGCTCGTTTCTTTGCAGGAATTAACGATGTAGCTGCTGATCCAACTGAAAGCGTCTCCGCTCTGTAAAGATGCACAGTTACCCCCAAGGTACCGCTCTGTATTAGACCTGCATATATTCCTACTAAATCACACCTTTAATGCTGCTCAATAAAACCTGCCTGAAAAACAGAGGATCCGAGTGTGTCGTTTGTTTGACCGTGCGCGATCTGTACAAAAACTCCCTCAATGTGATGTTTATTCGGATAACGGGATATACGTATATCGCTCACAGTGTGCGGAGGGCGGGTTTCCTGAACCTTTAAAAAAATAAATAAAAAAAAAAAGCCTATTGCAAGGAAGAAATCTTTGCTCTGGTACATATTCAGAGTCTTTAAATCTCAGATATTCAGCCCAAGGACTTGGATAAAGAAAAGCCAGTATTAAGGCCTTCTTGGAGTATGAAAAAGAAAACCCAACAAAAATAAAGAAAAAAGAGGCAAATGTGAAAAATGAATACAGCCCCGCTGGCTAAGAGGAAGGAAGGCAAGACCTTAAATATATTATTATTGATATTGGCTTGATCCCTCATATAAGTTATATAGATGTCAGAATATGCCTAGTCCATGATTAAATATTATGGACTGGAGAGATCCGCGGTTTGTGACTTTGTGGGTGTAAATGTTTGCAGTCAGTGGATATTCTATAACCAGCCAAAAGGAGGTCGATTTTTACATTCAATATTGCCAGGCTATTACGGCCCCAATTTAATATTGTTTTTAATATTTTTAAAGTCAACCTTTGAAATTATTTAATATTAAGAAAAATACTTAGATTATATATATATATATATTTAAAAAAAAAAATTTTTTTTTTTAAAGGTTATAAAAAAATATTAAAGAATTAGAAAATCTTGTCCAAAAATATAACAACCGAGGCCTAAATTCCATCATGTTTTTTTCTACCTGTAATGCAGGTTCATCCGTAAATCACGCCAGGACACAGGTAAAGAAATTTAAATGAATGACTATATTTACAGTTAAAAATACTACATACAAAAAAAAAAAAAAATACAAACAGATGAGTAAACAAAAATACAGAACGTGCTAAAAATATAATAAACACATCAAACAACAATGAATTTACGCGCCCAGCACTCACTCGGGAATGGCCATCTGTCAGGCACTGGAAAGGTTGAATATGTAAGAGTAAAACGCACCAGAAGTGTGTGGACGCATTGGGCCCGAGCACAGCCTTTATCTAGTTTGGGATGAGGAATAGACAACCTTCTCCTAATGACTTGCATTGTCTGCAGGCTCAGAGGGTTAAAACATTGTTTCAAGCAACAGTTATTGGAGTTTTCTGGGACTCGAAAGGAGGCAGATATTCCAAAATATTAAACAATTAAATTATATTTACTAAGGTTTGTAAAACCAACTACTAAACTTGATGTGGCAAAGTTTGGTTATATTCATTTCAGCAGGAATTCACCTCATTTGCTGAAATTTAAAAAGAAAACCATATATACATTTTTTTTTTACCTGTGTATGCGAGAAGCAGTCAGATCCCACAGATAAATGCACCGTGATTTTACTAGAACCTTTGGGAGGAGATCAGTCTACATGCGCTGGATTTGCTGGACTTGCCAGGAATGAGCCAACACGTAGATAAAAAGTTAATGAGTTGGTTAAATCTGCCAATCACAAGGCAGTACTTTTACCACCTTCTACCCGCTAAAAGAAATGACCAATAAAATAGTTATTTGGTGGTCAATAGGCTATATACAAAGCCAGTTTGGCAGCTCGATTTCGTGTAGGTATTAAAACATACCCAAGGCAGAGAAGGGTGACGACAGGGCTGCAACTCCTTGGAATGGTTAAAATGATTGCGAGCAAAAAGGGACAATATTAACTAAACTGTGAATTTAACATTTGAAGACAAAAATGACCAAAATGGCAGACTTAGACATTCAAAATTCACTTTGAATTCCTGAAACACTGTACAGTTTAGTCAATAACTCTGATGGGGTTAATAGTTTGAGAGCTCCCACTGGCATTTACATCATTAATGGAGTGAAGTGGTTTGGTCAGTCATGGAGACATTCCATATCAAGGGTTAAAGGGGGATCTGACATGGGTCGGATGGAAGAGGTTAAAATGACATGGTGGGCGTTGTGTCAACCCATCATATTTACCCTACAAACCAAGTAAATATCAGGTTATCTGTAAAGGTGGGGATTACAATCAGCATTGTATCATGTGGCACACAGATCGGTGATATTTAGTAGATTATAAGCCCGGTCTGGGCAATGCTGCCATACTGCTGGATAGAGAGCAAATTAATTCAACTATAGCCAACATTATAAGCGGTGACCTCAGGAACGCAGTGACAGAGCGGGGACATACACTCCTGAACAATAACATCTTAACGGAGAGCTACTGAAATGACCGTGGGAGCAAAGCACTCCATGTACAACAGAGGAAATGTCTCAGTTTGTCTGAGCCAGGCTCTCGTCACCTGGTCTACTTCTTATTTATTTTACACCTGTGTAATGGCTGCCTGTTACATGGTGCTGCATAAAAAGGAGATTAAGGCACATGCTGTTGCCATAGAAATAGGAGACTGCAACTACATCTACTTACTGTAGATTTGATTGGCCCTGACCTTATTCTACAGTGATCATATGGAATATTATAGAATATACAAGTCCCATTTTCCATCTGTAGCAGGCATTATATCTTAAAAGGATCTACACTGTTTTAGAAGTAGGACGCAGATAATTCATATAGAACAAAATGGTCACAATTTGGGTATTTTAGTCTGAATTTTGCATTTCCATTTACTGCAAATCACGGGTTAGAGATCCGCCGGTGTTGTACAACTACAACTCCCATGATGCTTTGCATGCCTTTAGAATGACAAAGCATCAAAGAAGCTGTAGTTTTAAAACATCTGGAGTCTATTTTTTGGGAACCCCTGGTTTAGAGAATAACGCTTTGTGGATGCACCCATTCATCTTTGCACCAAAGGAACTGACCGTCTATAAACACAGGGCAGCTAGATTTTTACACAAACCCAAGTAATGGACCATCTAATGGGACTGCAGGCCCTAACTTGTAGTGAGCCATCTGCTAAAGGAGATACTTGTAAGGTCAACAAGTCTGTGTTGGGACGATAGAGCCAAGGGTTCCCACTATAGAAATACCAGTCATTTCAGCAGCACCCCAATAAAATCTGCTTATTCAGGAGAGTGCTTTCCATCCTCTGCAATATAAATATGCACAAACTGTTTAGAGTATAGCAAACCGAGTCAGAACCTTTGTGTTTAATACACATTATGTGTGAATCTTGGAAAATAGCGTTTCGGGGGGAGATAAAATGTGAGTGCAGACTGGCAGAGAGTTTGGACAATCATTGTAAACAGCCTGTGTTGCCGCGTTCAGGCTTGTAACTAAGACACACAAAACACAAAGTGTACCATGGTTCATGCCATCCAATCTTCACATCGCAGTGTAGAGAGAGTTACCCTGTAATGGGTGCTTGTACTCATTTCACAGCAACAAACACTCCCCCAAAAATAATAAAACGTTATTAAAACAAGGAACCTGGCAAACACCGCACAGACTTTGGTGAGAAATGAAGACAGATCGGCTTGGCTTTACAACTGCTAAAATAAGAAAATAAAAACCCAGACAGAATAAGCAGAAAGGTTGAATTGTCACAACACGATCATCCTTCAGAATCAGACTGAAATGTTTTCACATTGTGGTAAACTTTGACTTCTTTGCTTTCTTCCTTGTACAATAATATAGACATAAATATATATCTATATATAAAAATAGTCTGAGTGTAACAAGAAATTCCTGTGCAAAACTAGAAACTTGTGCTGGGTTATTCTCCAGCTTGGTCACTTCCAACTCCAAAATGGAAATACCCATACTTAGAATTTTGCTTTTTTTTTTTTTTTTTTTTTTAAGGGGGGACGACTTTAAGGGACGTTCTGCTAGGAGAACAAATGCACTTAGGTTTAGTCTTCAAAATTCCAAAACGAAGAGACGGAGAGCCCTAAAAAGTGGGCTCCAATCCATCGTTCACAAATGTAACAGCGGAGATCATGGAGTGTCTCCGTCCTTCTTCCAATGTGTATGATCGGAACACAAGTCACCATTTTTCCCTCCGCTTAATGCTGGTGAAAGATTTGACTGGTTTGCTTCCGGTCAAGAGTAATTTCCAGGTCCTTGTGGTGGATCCTGGTCCATGCTGCATCCAAGGGCTTCAATATCATTACTAATGTCAGATATCATTCGGTCCCACTCATCTCCTTCCGAGGGTACAGACTGGTCATCGGAACCCCCAGCAGCACCATTGCCATTTGTGGTGGAGTTCGACGCAGTGCTCATTGTTCGTCTGTACCTCCCAAAACTATCTGTGATAATGCCCCGTCCATCTTTCACACCAATCGTTTCCAGGAAGTTCTCAAAATGTTGGCTGTCTTTCTCTGGGATGAATGGTCGGAGACCTTTGACAAAGAAAAATATGCAGGTTAAACAAAAGAGAAGCAAAACCCATAAAGAAATATAGGTCTTTTCAGAAATTAAACAATAAAAAAAAAAAAAAAATTATATATATATCTAGATAGATATTTATTTATAGATAACTGGTGAGAAATCTCTTTAAAAAAAAAAAAAAAGGATGTAACTTTTTGGGTGTAGTTGGGTGTAAAAAGTCTCGTTAGAAATCAAGCATCATACCATACAGATAATTGCAGCCTGCAAAGAAGCCCTGTAGTGTTCTCAGAGACACCTTCCTGCTACACCGTAACGTTTTAACTGAAAGGCTACTATCCAGTATGAGATAAGGCAAATTGCAATCTCAGTGCAGAATGTAATCTATGAGAATGCAGTGTATGTCACTTGCATAAACCTTCAGAGCAGGATTAGATAGAGAGATGTACATACATATACACACACGCATACACAGAAATAGAGATGTGATTCAATATAAATGTGAGAAGTGAAACCACTTAACTATATCCAGATCTCAGATCTTTCTCTCACGTTGTGTCATGGTCTCCCAGGATTATGTGTGTGTTGTATGTGTAGTGACTAAATAAAGACACAAACAAATACACAGACATCCTGCAAGAAACACAGCACAAAGCAGATCTATTTATAACCACTCTGCACAGTCTAATGCCGGATATCTTACAATGT